AGCATGCTACTGGCCAAATATCATCACCCTGAGCATTTTGGTTATTCAGAAGAAGTTGTTTATAGGTTTTTTAATACAATTGACCCCTGTGACCTTGAATATAATTGAAGGTCATTCATTTGAACAAACTTGTTAGCCCTTCACCCAAGCATGCTACTGGCCAAATATCATCTCCCTGGGCATTTTGGTTATTGAGAAGAAGATGTTTTAAGTTTTTGACATATTTGACCCCTGTGACCTTGAAAATAGGTGAAGGTCATTAATTTTAACAAACTTTGTAGCCCTTCATCCAAGTTTGATTCTGGCCAAATATCGACACCCTAGGCCTTTCGGTTATTAAGAAGAAGTCGTTTAAAGTAAAATATTGACACCGGACGGACAGACGACGGACGCCGCGCCACGGCATAAGCTCACTTGGCACTTCGTGCCAGGTGAGCTAAAAAACAATAAAACCACCTTATTCAATATCTAGCATGCAGATTTAAGACTGAAAAGTATTTGAAACTAGCACCTCTGATTCTAAACAAGGAAAATAAAGAAATTTTATTTTAGCACACAGACTCGATTGGGCCCCACCGTACAGCCCTCGGGGGAAGGGATGGCTCAAAATTTACAAAGTATCAAACTTTCAACTTAGAGTTATAATTCCAATCAAGTTACCCCCTCCTGCCCCAGGGGGAAACGCAAGACCCCAGGGTCATGAAATTCACAATTTTGGTAAAGCACCTTAAGCCCCTTCAATCTATGAAGAGTATTTGATTCTACCATATCTGGGTCTTGAGAAGAAGATTTTTGAAATTTCAGTCAATTCAACCCTTTAAGGCCCCACCCATCAGCCCCGGGGGGTCAGTCAGGGCTGATATGTGCATACCATATATCAAACTGCTATCCAATACTGATAATTCTAACCCAAATTGAATTACTTCCAATGGCAATTTACAAATGTTAGTCTAAAATGTGATTTCCCTATGTAAACTAAAATAAAGTTTACCCCCTCCCCAGGGGGAAACATGACACCCCAGGGTCATGAAATTCACAATATTGGTAAAGCACCTTAAGACCCTTCCATCTATGAAGAGTATTTGATTCTACCATATCTGGGTATTGAGAAGAAGATTTTTGAAATTTTAGTCAATTTTACCCTTTTTGGCCCCGCCCCTCAGGCCCCTGGGGGCTGGGGACCACATAATTCACAATTTTAGTTGACCTTTGGCCATGGAAGGTTTCTGCAAAATTTCATTGAAATTGGTTCAGGGGTTTTGGAGAAGAAGTTGAAAATGTAAATTGTTTACGGACGCACGCCGGATGCTGGACGCCGGACAAAAGGCGATCGCAATAGGTCACTTGAGACTTTGTCTCAGGTGACCTAAAAAATCTTTAAACAACTTCTTCTGAATAACTAAGAGACCTAGGGTAATGATATTTGGCAAATAACATGCTGGAATGAAGGGCTACCAAGTTTGTTCAAATGAAAGACCTTGACCAACTTTCAAGGTCACAGGGGTCAAATGTCTTAAAATCTTCTAACAACTTCTTCTCAATAACCAAAAGGCCCAGGGTAATGATATTTGGCAAGTTACATGCTTGGATGAAGGGCTACCAAGTTTGTTCGAATGAAAGACCTTGACCAACTTTCCAGGTCACAGGGGTCAAATGTCTTAAAATCTTCAAACAACTTCTTCTCAATAACCAAAAGGCCCAGGGTACTGATATTGGGCCTGAAGCATGCTGGGATAAAGGGCTACCAAGTTTGTTCAAATGAATGACCTTGACTCACTTTCAAGGTCACATGGGAAAAAGTTGTTAAAATCTTCAAACAACTTCTTCTCAATAACCAAAAGGCCCAGGGTACTGATATTGGGCCTGTAGCATGCACGGATGAAGGGCTACCAAGTTTGTTCAAATGAATGACCTTGACTCACTTTCAAGGTCACATGGGAAAAAGTTGTTAAAATCTTCAAACAACTTCTTCTCAATAACCAAAAGGCCCAGGGTACTGATATTGGGCCTGTAGCATGCACGGATGAAGGGCTACCAAGTTTGTTCAAATGAATGACCTCGACTTATATTCCAGGTCACAGGGGTCAAATATGTTAAAATCTTCTAACAACTTCTTCTCAATAACCAAAAGCCCCAGGGTACTGATATTGGGCCTGTAGCATGTTTGGATGAAGGGCTACCAAGTTTGTTCAAAGGAATGACCTTGACCCACTTTCAAACTAATGCCCTTGCAAATTGTTGGACATTCAAGGTCACAGGCTTCATATGTTTAAATCTTTTTAGGTTTTTATTAATCAAACACTGATATTTTGTTTGTAGCTGTATTTTAGTCAACTTTTAAAATTACAAGTGTGATATTAATACCAGGTGAGCAATACAGGCCCATTGGGCCTCTTGTTTTACAGTACAATCTCTTTACTAGTTTTGTAAATTAATCACACAGGACTCCTCACTTATGGTAAAAGAGACCCTGAATATCGTTGTCCACAAATTGTGCTTTCAGGATTATCCCCGACATGCAGTTAAGAAGCTACCAAGCTGGATGAGAGGTAGACTTGATTTACAAGGTTTTAATTAACATGCCAACATTACACTGAATACACTGTAAAAATATCCTACTTCTGTTAAGTTAAAGCCTGTTGACATCAGCTTTACCAATACCTTGGAATCGAGGCTAGCAATTTCCTGCTGACTCTGTGTTGACAACAGGAACGAGTTCATCTGCTGTTTCAGCGTATCATCCTTCAACAAGAATAATCGAGCAATCTTTAATGTGCGTGTGTGAAAATTTCAAATTGTAATAAAACCTGTGACTTTATAAATGCACTTTCAAGAACAAAACAAAATTTTCTTTTCATGTCTTTCATTGAAACAAACAGAATACACAAACTGTCCAGGGGTTACTTATACAAGTTACCTTACACATTAACAATGTCTACCCAAATTTGGTTTCTAGATTTTTATTATTGTGAACTTCATTGATTTTCACAACATTCAAACTTTAAAAAATTTATCTCAAAGAAAATTTGAACTGATAAAAACTGCTAAATATATATATACAAACATACACAAAAAAACAGGATTTTTTTTGCTTTCTTACTTTTTTTAAGTAGTTTGAATATTATTATTTTTAAAATGTAATTTGATGCTTGTTTCTGAAAATTTAGAAATTGACTTACAACTTCCACTTCAATATCGTAACAGGCAGTCTTCCTGGAGTCTGGCCCCTCCACACTAAAACATAGAGACACAGGTGTCTAACTTTTACATCAATAAGCTCTCATCTCAGAAAACAGTTCTTAACAGTCTCATTAAGTGATTCTTATACTTTACCTTTACATAGAGTTTGATAAAAATCATTTAAGAAATGATGGAGGCACGGTGGTCTAGATGTAGGATGCCGAGCTCGTGACCGAAGGGTTGCGGGTATGATTTACGGCATGGCACTGTGTTGTATCTTTGAGCAAGATACTTTACTCAGCTGTAAATGAGTATGTGGTTGGGCAGTGCTAGAAATGTTGAATGCTAGCTGTTAGCGCCGAAATGGCAACTTCGGCTGTATGCTGCCAAGGGAGGTGAGAAAGGTATTGGCTGGTTGCAAAGGCCCTATAACCACGGATAGTAATTTGTGAACCGCTTTGAGACGACCTACGAACTAGGTTGTGATAAATCGGTATATAAGAACCTCTTATTATTATCATTATTATTATTATTAAAATAAATATGGTAGCATGGTGACACTGACAGGACAATCACACTATTTGAACCATACAATGATGGGGACATAAAACAGGACATATTACCACTATTGTTTTTCCACAAGGAAAATCTATTATAATAATTTAAATAACAGATTTTCCTTGTCTATTTTTCTATTTAAATAGAGGAACTGCAGGTCTTAATGTTTTGGTCAAAATCTGCAAAGCCATTCTAGTTTGCCCGTTCCTTGCATGTAGTGTAGACATCCACTGTTATTCTATTCAATATAATTGTCTTGTGGCCCCTTTCGCATATCTGGTCCAACCAGTTGAAACGGTTGAACCTGAAAGAAAAATGACAGGCACAGATCTGAACTGTGGCTGACCTCAGGAGTATTCGGCATGTGCAGATTGACGGTTTAAGATGTGCCAGACAGAAACTAAAATGCTGACTTATGCTAGTTTGTGTTAATTCTTCATGAAACTGTGTCAAGCCACTTGTAGATTTTAAGATACCTTATATAATTTAGCGGACGCGTGTAAAAAGGACAGATTATATTCTTGATATATTGTTATTTATTCTCCGAAACTGTGCATTTGTTTTAGCTCTGCCTATGGTTCGGTCCATGTGCATTCGTTTATCGTACAATATTTCTGTGCCACCTGAACCGTTTCAACCGGGATACGCAAATGAAGCCTTGATCATAGCCTGCATTTGAACTGAACATGTCACTGGTCTGTTGTATCTTACACAATGACATGGTTGATAACTATAGGATCTGGTGGCATCAGGAGACTGTGCAACTTCCCTGGAATCTCCGCAAACTTCATCCTCGAACTATCAAATATCTAAAATATTAACAAAATTGCTTACTGTTAGGAGTGAAACACACCATAAATTCTGCTCAATGGTAACTTTTATATTGTAACATGTTCAATAATAACATGATGTCTTACTATTAACAATTTAGCTTCCAATGATAACACTATTTGCAGACATTGACTGTTTGACAATTTTTACATTCGGAGCTTCATCTTAAATACTGAAAATATAATTGTAATTGTATTACCAGACTCCATGTATAATAAACTTATTGTGTCCTTGTCCTGGGTATTAATACTGGTACTGCACTTCAGGCTTTTCCAAATTTCACACTTTAGGCAAAAAGGGCTGTTTACAAAATGACCGATTTTACAAATGAAGTATGCTTATAAATAAGAATGGACGCATCACTGGTAATAATCTAGATTTACAGATATGAACTTACTTGTTCCAGGTACTTGTCACAGTTGATGAACTCTCGCTCGTGAGGATCCTGAAGCTTGTGTGTTTTGATGTACTGCCAGAGAGCGTTAATGATGACTGGGCGAGTCTGTGTGTGGACACCCAGTAACCTGGCCAGACGCTGGTCCAACTTGAATTGAGGTGGCTACAACAAACATGAGAAAATATCAAAGTCTGATTTAATACCAAATGCTGGTTCAATATACACTTAGCATGCACCTATATCATACAGTAAAAACAAATTTGGTTTGGTAGGTTAAATATCCTATTAAAAGGACATGCCTCCATTTATGCAATGTATGCATATGTGCCGGAGGCAATATGTTGGTGCATTTGCCTCTTTGTGATGGTGCAGATCTGATGACGATTTTGCAGAGCTACCTCACTGAAATACCACGCCTAAGGCATCAAGCACAGACAACAGTTGACAAGTCGTTTTACTTTCTCTAAATGTTGAATATTCAGTAGGGAATAACACTACCATATTTTAAGCACTTCAGTCATATGTCCTGAGTAAAATAAATATTGGGAGGCTTCAGGTTCTGTTGAATTGGCAATAATATACTATCCGATAGTCACAAAAGTACAGACAATAAGAATACATGTACCTTCTAGCCCACATATCATCTTAGTTCAGATTTTTACAAACTTTGATTTTTACTTACCTAAGGAATGTTAATGAAACCAGTACCTGACACTGGACCAACATTAACTAAGGGGACCACAGTATATAACCAAATACAACCACATTCAACTGCCCACAGCCAAGTGTTTATCAACCTTAAAGCTCATCATTATCACATCAGCTCTAGAACTTTTCTCAGATTTTTTTAAAAAACTTTTATCTTTCCAGGATACAATATCATACAAATCCTAAGTTTTAGACAAAAGTTTTAGTTTTATGCATTTTTTTGTGTCAAAGACTAGTTAACTTATTCGCTCTTAAAATGTACGTATATAATATCCCCTAAAAAATCAATTCCTCATTCACATTACTAATGAATCAATATATATATGTAGTAGACCATACCTGGTAGTCCAGCATGAGGAGAACGGTACATTTCACATTCTGGTCGCCTGGACGTTTCACCTGGAATCCGTCTGTTTCCTGCGTCGTCGGTGTCCTGTGCCACTATTTAAAAAAGAATTGCTCATCTTGATATCTCTCACACAAACAATTCAATTTCTTTTACTTTACGCCATGTTTACATACGTGACTCACATTTAGCCAAATAGTTTTGGGATCGGTACTATGGCACACAGATCTTACCTCCACTAGATGATTGTCTGGTCCATACAAGTCCTTGTCCAACTCAATCACCAGACTTTTGAAGAAGGAAGAAAACTTTCGTTTCACCTTGGCAGGGTCACTTCCAAGCTTGGCACTCATGGACTAAAATATGGAAACGAGTTTGTGGATATTTTCAATTTCCTTTCAAAATAAGAAAACTTATTTTGCAGTAAACAGAACTTTTCCAATATCAAAATGACAGAAATAGGCCAGCTTCTTGGGTTTTTTGAAATATGATCTGTTAATTCAGAATTACTATAAAAATATCAATATTTGCATTTTCTTATTAAGCCACAAATATTCTAGTAGTCTTTTTCATATGACATATCATTTTTTTTCTTTTTTCCCCCCAAAAGAATATCTTTCAAATATTGTCAAGTGCAGAGGATGAAAAACTAATAATGATTGACCATTATGCCGCTAATAGGTAGGTTTAATCAACTTCTGGAACTAAAGAATGTAAATTGAGCAGTCCTGACTTACATCTTCAAGAAGACGCCCTTCTACTCGCAGCTCCCATGATGCAACAGATTCCTCTCCATCCTGCAGAATAAAGTGATAGTTCAAATCAACTGCTAGTTAATATAATAATATTGTCGCCATTTAGTTCAAATATACAAGAGGAAAATTAGCAATTGAAATAAAATTCAAATAGTTAACTAAAGAACTGTCAGGTGTGTTTTTTTTCTTTTTTCTTTCTTTTAGCTAAGGGGCTAAAAATAGGAATTTTCTATTGTTTACAGAAAAGACAGCAGATGGATAATCTTCGAGTTCTACAAAGTTTATATAACACCGACTATTTCATCTACTGAGCTGTAAAAATAGTGCCAGGACGTTGATGTCTTAACAGAAAACATTTGTTCAAACAGAAACTAGTGTAAGGTTGATGGGTCACATGACTGAAATGATTTTGTTATAGATCACATTCAAAAACTATATAGTTACCTCCCCTTCTGCCTTTACTGGGTAGAATGTGTTGGAAATGAAAATGCGTAGTTTTCTTTTTTGCTGAAACATAACAAAAAATAAATTTATCAATACAAAAACATCACAATTCAAGTCATTTAATGAAATCATATTATTCAAAAATACATTTTAATTATTTTGAATTGTTTTTCTTTCTTGTGCAAGTAACACATTAGTTGGGTCTGTCAGATTTTCTTATCTGCTTTACTTGTAGCTTACATTCATTAGTCGTTTGAGAGCCTCCTGTCTCTTGTACTTGTAGCTTAACCTTCATTAGTCGTTTGAGAGCCTCCTGTCTGCTGTACCCGTAGCTTACCTTCATTGGTCGTTTGAGAGCTTCCTGGATGTCCAGTCTCTTTCTCATAATTGTGGTATCCAGTTTTCTCTCAAAGGCCAGCAGATCCATATAAGCTTGTGACTCCGGCACCAAGTCTCTTACCTAAAGGGAAGGCAACAATGTCAAAGGTCAAATTACTTCACATTTCATGTCAGCCTTGAGCAAGTGCAATCATATAGGTTTAAATCAACAGCGTAAATATTAATTAGTCAGTGCAAGGTTATCAATTGGATACCACAAGCATACAGTGACAAACAAAGAATTGACTTGGACTCTGAATTAAGATAACAGGTCCATTGACAGGAGTTTTAACCCTCCAATTTTCATGGAAAATGTTACTTGACTTATATTTCCTCCAACAAATTTCCGTCAAAACTGGCAGTTCTCATTGTTGGTTTCGAGTTGTAACAGATATATATCCTAAGTGATATAAGTGTGTGTGTTGAGCAATAGATTAAATAAGACTCAATGTGTGTTTAATAAATTTTCAGTGATAATAATGACTCCTCCTCCGACGATCATTCAGACAGAATTTTTGTGTTTGACACCTATTTTAACATACACTGGTACACGAGAGATAGTTAACATTTGTTTAACCCTGAGATATTGCTTCCTTACACCGGACCTCTCTACCTACTTACACAGTATGACACGAGAGTACATCAAATCACTTACTCTTTGTGGAAGAATTTTATCAGCAACTTTCTTTTTCTTCTTCCTAAATTCAAAGAAACAAAGTGTAAGTTACGAAATGTAAGCAGAGATGTCAAGCATACAGATTTCAATACAAACCTTATGTTTTTCATAATACGTTTCAAGTCTCAACTGTATTTTTGTGACTTTTTTTTTCAACCTTGAATTTTCATGTTTTTCTTTATAAGAAAAATGAACTCAATGTACATGTTCTTATTTCTTAAATTGTCGTACTACAGTACCCGCTGTCTAGACCCCAATCAACATACAAGAATGTCAAAAGTTAAATAGAGGCAATGGTTTCACAGTATGTACAAGGAAGATTGTTCTCTTATAATCATATGTGTATATATACCAAGTATTAATATAATTATTATTCAAAACAAAATACATCTGTTCTGTAATAAAAGAAATGTAGCGATTAAATGACACTAGTTCACAGTATAGGTATAATGTATCATTACAAATATAGTTCCATATTTAGTATAGCATGCTCTTTCAAGTTGTTCTTACGTCTTCATGTGCTGGGCTGCTCGAGGGTCTGGGGGCCGCTTCCTATCCATGGGTCCCTGCATACCTGGTGGCCCCGGGGGTGGGGGCATTCCTGGGGACATACCTGGTCGCATACCTAGGAAGCAACAGTCCACATATGAGTATTGCTGTATACATATGATCATGAGCAGACAGTTATTTAAACAACATTCACCTTTAATGTTACAGTATATAGTACTACAGTGATCAAGAACCTGCAAAAAAAAAAAAAAAAGGACAATAACAGACAAGATATCTCCCATTCTACATGTATTTTGTACTTGTGATATATATTATTATCAACTTTCAACAATAAAACATTTTTCATCAGCAATAAATTATCAAGAAACTACACAAACCTTCAGTAAAATAGTATTATAGGAATAATTTTACCGTATTTGACTCGATAAGTGCCCCTAAGAATGTATATGTACTGTCTCATCCAAATGTCCGAACTGTTCGCCATAATTTACAGTTGGAAAACTCTAAGTGTCTATGATGATTTTTTAAAAAGTTTGGGAAGTTTGTTTGATTCTTCTAATTTCCTTCAATTAGAAATGCTTATTGGGTCAAATACCACAATATTCCCAAACAAGATCTTACATAGGCATACTGTAATTATAATTATGACATAGACTCAATTCAAGATCACGAGATTGAAAAAAGAAATTCACAGCAATAAATTTATAAAAAATCTTATATTTATTTATTGCTGGAATCTTTCTAGTGTTTATTATGAAAGTTTAGATTCAGTTTAAAAATATATAATATACAATTGTTTTATGGCTATTTGGGGAACAGTCAAAACTATCATCCCGAGGTAGGGGGATCCCCCTGGAAGCCCTGGCAAACAGGTCCTACCGAGGGATGGCAGTTTTGACAGTTTCCCTAATAGCATTGAAACAATTGCTTTATTACCAAATAGATATTTTAGTATCAATGCTGAGGTCAAACACACACTTTTAACGACCCCTATCAAGGGGAAATTTCTGCGCATCGAATTCACGCTGGGTAACAGTTCGCTCTGACCGGGAAAACAGTTTTGGCTGTTTCACCCCTGCAGCCAAAGTTGGACAAAAAGCCAGAAACAGTCAAAAATTACTAATTCTTATTTATATAGACTATTGGGTAATAATATCAAATACTCTTAATATTGACCATCAAACTGGAACGAAAGCAGGAGTTAATGTGACTATCACTCTCATGCAACTACAATATAAAACTGTGATCACTTATCACTAAGTTAAAAAAAAAAAACAGTTTTTTCTAATGAGATACATAGAAAACATATGCTAGCCAGGAGCTAGGGGTCGCCAATGGAAATTTAAATTTCTTTGTATGTTTATTTCATAACACAGCACTACTACAGTACATCTGATACAAGTCCAACATACTTCACTGGACATTCATTCAGTGCATGCTTATCCTGTTTAGGTTCTGAAATAAAACTGTAAGCCAAAGGCTAACTAATACCCCCGCTGCTATATAAACCAGAACTGTAAGCCAAAGGTTAACTAATACCCCCGCTGCTATATAAACCAGAACTGTAAGTTAAAGGCTTACTAAGGCAAAGCATTGCACAGCAATCCAGTCTCCCACCAGTAACAAGTATTTCGCATAAAGGGGCATGACTCCATCAAAAAGGGTCGAAATCCCAAATTAAAATGCCGGTGCACAACTACATAAGATACTGATCATTCTTGCAAGGTTTCAATGATATCCACCTGTTAGTTTAGGAGGAGTTTTACCGGACAAGTTACTGTGGACGACAGACAGACATCCAGACAGGGTGATTCCAGTATACCCCCCCCCCCCCCTCCCCCACTAACTTCGTTGTGGGGGTATACAAATAAATCTGCTTTATCTGACTGAAAATTTTCATAAGAGGTGACTAATGAGAGGGCCTATACAGAATTGGGGTTGGGCGAGTTGTTCTATAAGGGGTCACTGTAGAAAACCAACTTGATCTGCTTCACCCATTTAAATGAGACCTCTATATTTTCATTTCCGCCTATCATGTATACTGCTAACCTAATTTTCCATTCTTTTCTGCAGTCTTTCATCAAGCATCTGTCTTTTTATATCTATATGACCGATAATGTTACGAGAATGTTAACCCCCGCACAAACAAAGCAAACCCATGCTTAGGAATAAATCCAAATTCATTATTACCTAGTACTATTGTTGAGATCCAAAATTGATTACCTTAAGCTTGCTCGGGTAGAAAATAAGGAGGGGAACTGATGAAAACTAGATAGGTATGTAGTGCTAATCCATTAAGTACCTACTGGTATATTTCTCAACATTTTCTTCAGGTTGGTAAGTATGGATTATGAAAAGTTCTTTTTTACACAATCGATAATGTGATTGACTGGGATAACTCCAAAGTTTTGGACAGAGAGAGCAATCTGTTCAAGGGACAGATAAAGGAAGTCATCTGGATACGCCGCAGTGGGCCAGTTCTAAATCGAGATGAGGGGGCTCAAAGACTCTCGCACATCTATGGCCAAGAATTAAACAAAGCGTAGCTGCATCGAGTCATTTCGGTACATATATATCAACTATTGTACATACGCTTACAGCGTAGCTGAAATCGACATCGATTTTGTGGACAACTCGTACACATTTTACACCTTTGTGTGCATACACTTCAGTGGTCATTTGTCTGATGAAGGTGACAGCATACATATCGTACTAGTCATCGAAACGTCACATTGAACATTTTATTGGTTGTGTAAAAAAGAACTTTTCATAATCTATTGGTATATTGTATTAAACTGGTCATCCCACAGGCTAATAGTATAATACCATACATACCAGTAAATTACACGGACTCTCTCAATGCAGTATTTCAAATACACAATACAAACATCTATGGTCAGCACTAAAAGCAAATTTAGTCAGCCAGTCAGAAATGATAGGCCTGCATTAACGATCAGAAACACAACCTGCTTGGGTAAAATCTATAACATGCACATAGAGGCGCCCTGTTATATTTCGCTTGGTCACAGAATATTAAATCCTGCAGCTTTATATTTTTTAATTGATGTTGGAAGTATCAAAAAGCAAAATTGCAAGAAAATATGTTAATTACAGGACATTGGATCCCTTTAAAAACTATTATGGTTACAATTTAGGAATAAATATAGAAAAATACAATTTAATTTGTTTGATCAATTTAGCTTTTTCAACATTGTCACATTTTTCTTCTCCCAAAGACTTGGCCTACAGCAATCCAGAAATCGTTCATAATAACAATAATGACTTCTGGAGAAGTACAGTGACCAGAGTCCACATTCAAAAACTTTTTTTTCTTCATATTACAAATTTCTCAACCATAAATGGCCAGTCATACTGAAATAAATTAGTTTTATAAGAAACTAAAAACACTAAAATAATAAACAACTAAAAGGCAAAACAAAAATACAAAGACATGATAAGCTTTAGCTTAATCCTTTCTAAAATATTTGTGGTCAAATTTTTGCAATCTTTTCTGCAACAAGTCTGGCTTATATGTTAAAGCATAATAACATACTAAACGTCCAACCTAGCTACAGCTGCTGGCGTCTACAACTCCCTGGATCACATGCACCATAAATGTCTGGCAGTTCTGCTAGGACACCTTGAATAGGGGAAAATTTACATCTGCCAACAGCCTTATTTAATTTCTTGTTAAAAACTGCATATACAATGTACATAGAAGGTTTTTTATCAATTAATTATCTGATGTGGTAATGCAACTTTGCAAAAAAAAAAAAAAAAAAAAATCCTATAATTCAAAGCCAGATTTTTTTCTAACCTTCATTTAAAAAGATGTCTGAACCCCACTAAGAAAGGGAGTTGATTTTTTTTTCAAAGTGAGTTTATAATACATAACAAGGAAAATCACTGGATCTGTGCATGCAGTTGTATTACTATAGGGACAACTCTAAACAGCCAATGAAGCGGGGAGCATCCTTAGCGCTGTATATATATATATATATACTCACATTGTGAGTCACCTTTGACCTTTCCACCTGCTGGAAAATCACAAGGTCAAGGTCATGACTTAAGGTGATAACGGTAATCAAAACCACTTTAAGTGATCATGATCAGTATTAAGCAGTTTTGAGATTCTTTTTATAATTAATATCTCTACAAATACATGTTACCATAAAAACTAATGACAATATCTCCAATATTACTTATATAATAATGATAAATTGATTCAACATACGAAATATATACAAAATTGCATGCATTAATGTAACACTGATTAATGTTATTAAATATTATGTGATATCAATAAATGGCAATCAAATATCACTAAAGGAGATAACTCTTACATAATCTAGCCATACGATAATACAAGATTATCTAGGTGTAGAGCCTTACTCCGATCCTAAAGGCTATATAATGTTATAATTCACTTCCAATGGTAAAGTTAAGGTAGATTGTCTCATGCCAGCATTCTATGGTATACCTTCAACAAAGAAGAGTTCCAATTTGTCTACAATTTTCAGATTTACTAAAGGCTATATATGTTACAATTCACTTCCAATGGTAAAGTTAAGGTATATTGTCTCATGCCAGCATTCTATGGTATACCTTCAACAAAGAAGAGTTCCAATTTGTCTACAATTTTCTGATTTACTATATTTTCCTTTTTCACAAAAAAAATCTTTACATCTTATAAAGATTTAATTCCTGTCAACTTGAAAGGGAAATTTCCTGACATCTTGATTATAAAGCGAGGGGCTTAATCACTGCACCACTGGTCATGCTAAATGTATTTGTTATGTTGAAACTTTTACACAACGTTAATAGGAATAACTTCGAACTGATGCAACTCCCTAAAAATGTCCACAAACCAGCTCAATATATAAAGAAGAAATTACAAATTTAACAAGACAATAACTTTGAAGACCTGTATACAATAGAATAGTGGTGGGGCGATCTGCCTTAACATAAATATAATACTGTTTCGGTTCTAATAACAGCCCATGCTCTAATAATCATCATCCTTTCTATTTGGAGCAAAAATTAAAAAAAAATTCATGTTTTGGTATTTTCCAAATTCTGAAGATATTCCCCCTTTTTTCGTTTTATCACATGTTTTAATAATATAATAGCCTGAGCTATTATTAGAATCAATACTGTATTATACATGTAAAGAAAATAAAACAAGTATACAACCTTACGCCTACAGAATATATACTTATAACGGTACATGATATATATCTGTATCAACTTCAAGTGGATATATATAATTTTAGCCATGCTTAATAGCCCTTAGACAAAGGGTACCAGTCCACCAGTTATATGTACAGACAATTTCCACTTAAGAGTTTTTTGCTGACTTGAGTATTCTCCCTAAGCTTTCTATTGAAGATGAATCATCATAAATGAACGCTTTTCCTCGCATAGAGCTACTTCCCTTTGTATCGTATTCATCTTTCATTTTGATACCTTGCACTTTGTAGGAGTGAGTCTATAGGTCCCAAGCTCAACCCCAGAATTCCTGGGTTTTTTTATTACCTTAACCTTAGTTTCCAAATATTCAAATTTCTAGCAACTGTTATTTTAAAAACACATCACATATTTTATATGGAATACACCTGAAGAAAATAACTTAAGCATAAAATTACTTATAATAGATCCCAAGACAATCACTTATTTCCACACAATGGTACTGTTTACCATATATGTTATATGTAGCTACTGCTTACATCACATACAGCCTTAACATGCTGCAGACTGAATGTTTACTGCAGTCAGGAAGAATACATGTAATAACATCACCTAAAGACACGAAATCCTGATATAATGTATTGGCAACCCCAAATTTTAAGTTAACAAATTTTATTCTTTTTTTCTTTTTTTTCATTTTAACAAGTTTTATTATATATATATATTAACATTGTTATATAGTTAAAACAAGACACAATTTTAAGCATTAAAAGACTGTCTGCAGCAATACAGGATATGCATGAAATTCAGAAATTGAATCAACATATATATACATAAGCAACAATGTTTATGTTTCCGGCACTGCAACAACTATGTTTACAGGAAATAATATGAGAACAATACAAAATATACCCTGTTGATAATATTACATATGTAAAATCTACAATTTAAGTTCTTCAGCATACCAGCTGTTTAACCTAAAATCATGCATTTTTTAATCCATTTTCATAAAATTAAGATTTCAAAATTAAAACATAATAATATTTACGATGAAGATAAAACAAGCTATTTCAAGTTAAAAAAAATATACTTTTAAATCAACAATCTTTTCTGCACATCATGCAAGGCATACACAAATTAAACTACGACAGCCATAGCACACCTGCGCTTTCTCAGCTAAACTTCAATGTAAGAAGTCTTAGAATCCACACAAACATGTGTGCAGTTCTATAGATGAACAAATGATGGACAAATAAACTGCATACAGTTAAAAAACCAAAGTATGACTACTATTCCGGAATGTTTATATTATTACTAAATGTATGGAAATAAAAATTCTAATTAATAACTAAAAATATGGGTAATTAATTGACAGGGGTAAATGTGCGTGATAGAGATAATCGTATTTAGACTTGCCTACCTATTGGCAGTGCTCCTCATATATAGCAAGCTTTAATAATGTTGTATTCATTCTAAATATATAAAGATGCGTCAAGCTGGAACAACACACCAGAAAGTTGATTTTAACCCTTTCACCCCTATGTAACTTTAGTAGACTCTACCATGCACTGATCGCGATGAGTCCATTATGGTCTACAGTGGTGACAGGATTAATTCATTTTTATTACTGGGATAGCAAGATGAAGTCTTCAAGCACCCAATAACATGTGTTTAAAAGTTGTATTGGTCACAAGTTAATTATTTTTTTATAAGAAACTGGACATTTGAAAAAAGAGCGTATAATCTTTGAAATCAGGAAGGAAAAAAAAAATTTTACACAAGAAAATCCAAATGAAACTGCTCAATCAGAGCCTTTCTTGTGTTGACATAATTTGTGGTCACAAGCCAATTGACGTCCAATGGTCTTGTACATCATTAAAACAATGGTAAAATTCGAGAAAAATGTGGAGCTTTTAGAAAAGTCATTAAAGATATTGCTTACTGGACAAAGAGACTTACACATAACATAATTTAAGCAGGAATTGTCTACCAATGTATGATTCTGTTTTTAAGATAAATCAAGCATTTTAACATCCACCCCAAACCGCCTCGAATTGACGGACCCACAATTCAGCAAGAAAATCAGGTCATATTTGTGAACTTTCTCGAAGCTCCTAAACCTTGTTATTGAGACTACAGCTAGGTACACTATAAGATTTATCGGGCTGCAATTTGTATGCTGGTCACTGCCATAATTTCTTCTCTATAACAGCTTCTATCTTATACAGTACTTTAATTTTTTGCAGGAAAATGAAAATCTAAACTTACCAGCTACTTGTTTTGAAACAATAGCCTACCAATTGTAAATACAATGTATGACATGTTTTAGCAGGAACAAACAAGGCTTCACTCTGTCTACCGAGTGTCGGACCGCAGACTACGGCAGCTTTACGATCAGGCAAGCTCATACTTACTGGCCTTGCTGGTGGGGGGCACAGATTGTCCTGTGTCATATAAGGGATGAAAGCACATGTCAACATCACGTAAAAAAATATGCTTGAAAAAATTTGCAAAAAATCCACACCCCCAAAATACGATATTTGCTGAAATAAAATAGTTTTCGCAATGTATCAAAATTTCTCAGTTTGTTTATATTAAATAACCGATGTGATACAGAGAGTAACATAGGGTCCAGGTCAGTGTGTTCTGGCATTACTGGAAAAAATACCTGTTCACAAATTCAAGAGTTTCAAATAAAATTTTATGAAGAACAAGGTTATATAATGTACCAATTTAAAATAATATCTTTTCATTTTCAATTAAGTGTAGTATATAACTGATACATGAATGACTATAACACATCAGAGATTTAAGATTAAAACCCATTCAGCAATTGAAGGACTGTAAAATATTGTATGTAATTAACCCCTTCATCTGTTTTATCTGTTAGAGAAAATCTGACAGTATATATAGCTATTAATTATAGATCAGTGATTTTTCTACTTCCGGCTTGTTTTAGGTAGAATCGGAATAAAAAGAAGCCTTCGGTTAACTCATTCACCCCTGAAGAAACATTTGAACTCTTCCAATTCAAAGGTTGGAATAGTTCATTATGAAATTTCAGGGGTCAATGAGTTAACTGCTGCTTCATACTGGAAATTTTACATTGAGACATTGATATGCAGCTTATGCTAGCAGAAAGTTCGATGATTTTGTCAGTGACTATATTTAGTCAGACATGGAGGATGGAAACATTACAAAGGTCACAAATATTTTTAAAGAGAAAGAATTGACTCATAAGAATTTAATTAATCAGATTATGGTAAGATGTAATTACTACCTAGGAAACTGACTCGTTCCAAACTTTGAATTTCACATAAAAACCTGGCTATATATAGAGAATCTAAATATTTCACACAACAGGCACAGAGAAAGAGTACACAGTGGTGTGAAAATTAAAGTAGACAAATATTTTGTTGACTTTGAAAGTTATCAAAGTAACAAAATATTCTACATACAGCTATTGAAAATTATTTGTTATTTGATCATGTGATCATTATACAAGAATTGCAAAAAGATTACCAAGTACAGGTGAACTCATTGGTTCTTATATATTAGGCAAATATTAGGCAAACAGTTTCAAAATAATGTGACAGCCCTTTATACATCAAAAATACTAAGGGCAAATTTCAGTACAATTCTATACTACCCCAAGACTTTAAAATATATCACTTCTGTACATCTATTGTTGGTTCAGTCTACGACGTTGATGCTAAAAAAACAAATTAAATTCTTTTGGTGGTAAACTGTAAACAAAACCCGAGTCCTGGTATGGGGGTGGGGTGTTTGTTTTATTGGTATGTATATATAGCCCTTACACATGTAATAATATTAACTCAAAGAAAACATATAGACATATTTACTTGACCTAAATGATAATGGAATAACTTCTCAAGAATGTATTTGAGTTGTTTTCTGTACAGCTGTATGTACTTTATTCAAAATACTTTACCTGCATATGGGTGCGGGGGCATGCCCCCATGCGGCGGTACCCCCATTCTTTGAGGTCCTCCAGGTCCCATCTGTTGTCCTGGGTACCCACCTGGCCTCGGACCCTGATAATTATACCAATTAGTTTCTATTATAATATAAATTACAACAGATTATTGAACAACACATACAGTTTGAAAGAATAATGCAATAATAGTATTTCAATTGCGTTACCATTTTTATATAATATGCCACGAGGATAATTTTCAGTACTGAAATGTACCTCTCCTCAGGACTTCCTACTTTTTCATTGTTATAAAATATTAAAGATTAAAAAGGAAGTAAAATTAAGGTCCTTAACCTATGGTCTGCTCTGCTGGTACATATAAAATATTTTGGATGTATACTGAAAAATTGAGAAGAATTGAAAGGAGTTTGCTCTTGAGTGGAAAACCAGTGCCCATTACATGAAACCGTTCTCATGCTCAAGCATGGATTCTGTGCTCAAACAAATTTTCTTATCACTTGCTTAATCATGTCAAACGATCAAAAAGTGAAATGTAAAAATTGAAACCAGTATTCAGCTTTAAATCTCTTCAATGTTTTTCCAAATCATTGACAAATTAAGATTTTTATTATTAATTTACATCGGGAACAAGAAATGCAGCTTGAGCACAAAATCCATGCTTGAGCATGAAAACGGTTTCATGAATACTGGCCCTAATGTCACTTGTCACAATACTTGGATGAATAAAAAAAAAATGAAAATGAAAAGAATAGCCATGAATAGCCATCTCCAGTTATTGGTTCCTATATATGGTTTATTTTGATCCATTTTCTTGTGATAATTGTCCATCTCACATATCTGTACGTATGTCTTTGATGATCCGCCATATTCCAAACAAACTCAATTTCCCCCATGTATGCTGGCCTCATTTTCAGAATGCTCAATGAGACTAACTCATCTGCATTAAGCTTGCCAGATCTTCAAATATACATCATACATTTAATATGTAAAAATACCACTACCACTGCCATACTATGCACTATTGCTGGTCACTGTAACTTATTTCTGGATAAAATTACAGACACAATCAAAGCCAATGTGATTTTTACACAAAATATTCTGAAGGTTTTCATGCTCAACAATCTGTTTTCTGTGAAATATTTGTTAACTGAACGATGAACGATTTTTACCAGGCTGTAGAGGTCTAGTGGATAGGTAAAAGATTACTATTAAATGTGGTCTGATCAAGTCTCATTGGTCTGGTCTCGTGGATCAGAGACTAGGGCCAGCACGGGTTACTGAGAACCTGGTTCAGTTCAGTTGATTATTATTGGCCACTACATACCCGATAACCATCCCAAATAAAGGTCAATATTCATTTATTTTCCCGTTTAGAAATGTTGCTCCTGACTGCCATTTTACAGACCTCGAAAACACTCTTGATCAATTATTCAGTCTATATGTTCTTGCTATTAATGTAACTTATCATTCACCGGCAACTAATATATAATCTTCTGTGTTCCAACCAGAAGTAATTTGCAGAAATATGTGCAAATAGTGTTGACAACATATGAGTGTAAAGTGAAACAACGAAAAATGTTCCAATCGGGAGGCTAGTGATATGAAGCTTATTCATAAAGATTTTGAGAATTTGCAATGTTTTACAACTGTATTTAAAAGACATAAGTATTGAGTTATCTTTGTTTAAGCATTTAGTGAATAAATAATCATACTTTATCAAAATATAGGGCCATTGGTGGCTGTAATTCATTTGAGGCCCTGCACTGAATACTTGTAGACTATATGTAACGTTTACACTTGTGGACTGATGATCGGTAATTTACACCTCAGTTGGGATTATGCTACAGAATTTAAGTCCTCAACTGAGATAACCTAGCTGGTCTAGATGCTAATAGTACAGTGATATTTACTGATATAAAAGCCATAATAGCCATGAGACCTGACTAAGGAGACCAGTCTCGCCAAATCTTGGAATCGGATCACTAAACCAGACCTGACAGTGTCCAGATCAGACCATGTTTTGTAGTACCTGGTATGCCTAGTGAATGAATACATCTTACTATTGACACTATTTCTAGCTTAGCTCAGTTGTATATATATATAATATAGATCTACAAGTTTATATACAAGTATGTTTATGAGGACCAATTTCCGAAATAATTAAAAATTAACAGTTTATCACACAACCCTCAAAATCTCATTAATCAATAGGGCTCTGTGTATACTCCACACAAGATTCACAAAAGATTAATCCAAACAAACCCCTTATTTTCAGTTATTCTGTGCACAAAACCCTTTTTTTATGGCACGATAGCATAATATTGTAGCCATTATGCTTGTAAATGTGTATGGGTATAAAATTTGTATGTGCTATTTGTGTTGCTTCGCTTTTATTTTGTGTATATTGTATGTGTTGCTTATAATTCATCGTTTTATTTCTTGTAATTTCCATTCAAATCTGGTTTGTATGTTTCCTAAGCAATCTGTGCTATTTATATATGGTTGTATTTACTTATATGTGCTGTAATTATGTAATTTGTTGAAGACATTGTGTGATAAGTGTGGCTTTCCAAAATGTTTTAATTTATCTAGGAATTTATAATTAATCATGATCATCAAAGATGGGGCACTGTAGCCACCTTGTTTTGACTGTTTGCCTATTTTTTTTACCCAAATGAATGTGCCAAAAGTTATTCACCTGAAATTTTCATTTTGGAACCACACTACCTATCTTTTATATGTTTATCAATGTGTGTGTGTTTAACAACTTGTCATAGGTTTGCATGCTTGTTATGTTTGAGATAATGGTACATCCGTTTTATTTTGTTATATAGTCGGTTGTAAAAGTCTTCCATAGGCTTGTGTTGCCTTGTTTAACCATGTACCAACTTTTAAATAAAATTTACTTGAACTTAAACTTGTTGTTTGGATCAGAAGAGTGAAGTGGGCTGTTTTTTATGTGGTACTCCCTGTAAAATTCTATGCAGGATTTCTATCCAGTGAGGTGGGTGTATCAAGAAGAAATGGAATTATCAGCATCCGAATGCTCCAGTCACTACTAAAACAGATCTGTACGACAGATAAAATGTACAGCAAAATGACTACGACATGACACTCTATGCCTGTTTCCTCGTTCACTCGCCAAAAATGTTGCCAATATTTAGAACAGTAACAGTACACGTTTATCATTCTGTTCAGAATTGTGAAAAAGGGGTAAACGACATGGTATTAAAGTCCATGTGAGATGGATATGTGGTTATAGACCCCTCACCCCACGCACCGACATATTAGATACAGAACTAAAGAGACCCCC